TCATCAAATACTCATGATAATTTTAATATGGCTACTTCTTTATCATGTGAGCTCTTATATGGTAAATATTTTATCTACTCTTGTTTGAAAGTATAAGGACGTTTGTAATCATTCCCAAAGCACCATGGATAATTTGGTGAATTCTCTCTTTTGGATGGCAGGCGGCACTGTTGCCACCTAGAAGCTGGCCTAAGCTCTACAGTGCCCAGTGCTCACTCCTGGGCCCACCGGAGCCGGCTCTTGTCTGACTAATGGGGCGTCCAGGAGAGGCGGGGTGGGGGACACAGGTCTCCCCAGCGGTCCCTGTGACTTCAGCCCAGCCCCCGTCTCTAGCTCCCCATGACTGTATGAAGAGCCCGGGTTGTCTAACTCTGAGGGGGCTCCCGGTCCTCCCGGTCAGTGAGCCCCAAATCCTCAAGTGATATTTTATGTACACGGGCTTTTTAGAGATTAAAAACTTCTAGAGAACAGAGCCTGTGGGGAACTTGTAATGTCACCTCTACTGACGAAACCACAGTCAGGCTGAAGAGCAGATACATTCCCCCTCCTCGGCGTCTTCAGCTTTTCCTGTGAAGTAGGGAACTGATGGAAAATCCACACGTTGGGACCAACCGGGCGAAACTGCGAGGCTGGGCGTGCGGCCCCCTGAACTGACTCTCCCCGCCCGTGGGCCTGCTGGTCAGCCGCTTTCTTCTCTCCTAGGTGAGGTTATCTGACTGAACCTCCAGAACTAACGAAGGGGTGTTGCTACCACCTGCTACTGATCTAAGGCCCATCGAGTTAAGAAACGGACTCACACACAGAGAACAGACTGACAGCTGCCAGAGGGGAGAGGGGTGGGGGGCTGGGTGGAAAAGGTAAAGGGATTAACAAAAACAAAACCGAAAAGACTCAAAGACACAGACGACAGTATGGTGATCGCCAGAGGGAGGGGGGGGCAGGTGGAAGAGCGTAAATGGTGATGGAAGGAGACGACTTTGGGCGGTGACCGCACACTACAACATCCAGATGGTGTATGTAGAATTGCGCACTTGAAACCCATATCATTTTATTAACCAATGTCACCCCAATAAATTGAATAATTTTTTTTTTTTAAGTAAAAAAAGAAAATGTTCTGAGTGAAACAGCACGTCTGTGGCCTGACCCCAGTGGGTTGTTTGGCGTCCCCAGAAACCTGTCCCCATCAGGGGACCTCTGTGCACCATAGTCATAGCAGGTTGCTATTTATAATGTCTTTCTCTTCCTTGGCAGCTTAAATTAAAACGTCAACTTGAAGAAATGTTTCAGAAAGGCCCTGGGAAGAGTTGTAAACAGAGCCGCATTAATCAAGGAGAAGCGAAGAAAGGGCTCTTTTAACATAGGGAACATCGTTGTTGACATAAAACAAAAGGCCTGGCCGAGTGAGGGCTGTTGAGAGATGGGCAGAGCAAACAGTATTCAGCTCAGTGAATCAGTAAAAGGAAACCAGCATGTGCAGTTGAACCCTGAGCGATGCCTCTTTCTATGAGTGGCATCACTGGGCAGCCAGCCTCCAAACAAATGCCACCAAGAGCATTTCCCATCTCCCTTTTCTCCAAATTAAAGTGGGCACACACCTCTTAGGTGGCACGGATGTATCACAAAACGCAATGCCATGCTCAGATCTAAAGAGAACGTACCGGCCCAGCTGGCGTGGCTCAGTGGTTGAGCCACATGAACCCAGAGGTCACGGTTCGATTCCCGGTCAGGGTACATGCCCAGCAGGGGGTGTGCAGGAAGGCCGCCGATCAATGACTCTCATCGTTGATGTTTCTATCTCTCCCTCTCCCTTCCTCTCTCTGAAATCAATTTAAAAAACATATTTAATAATTAAAAAAAAGGACATTGTGCTGTATGGTTGCATTTATACGGAATTCTAGAGGAGCAAAGCTGTGATGATAGAAAGCAGATGAGGGGTTGCTGGGCTCAGGGTGCAGGGAGAGGATCGCCTGTGAAGAGGCAGGAGGAGATGTTTGAGGGTGGTGGAAATGCTCCCCATCACGAGGCGGGCGGCCGTTACGTGACTCTACACATTTGGCAAACTCAAGTGTACGCTTAAAATCGCTGAATTCCATTGTATGTAAATTGCATCTCGATAAAGTGAATTTAAAGGTTCATATCATAACTTGATAGGGCATTTCTATTCTTTCATATCTGGCTCAGAGTAGGTGAAATTTGGTAACCTCTTGGTGATAGAAAACAAGCAGAGCTTAATTTCAAAATCCCGAGCTAGGGGTTGTGGGAGATCACCAGCTGCGGCCGTCTCCGCGTGGGAGCTGCCAGAACGTTCCTGGCTGGGCTCCACGCGAGACACAGCTTGGAGCCTCCCAAGGTCCTTGGACACCCAGAAAGTGGGTTGTCTTTCAGGATGTCTGCGTCACCGCGGAGAACATGCTGGTGAATCAAAAACCAGCTGGATTTGTTTGTAAACTGGCAAAATTCTGACTTGCCTGGAAGTACTGTTAATCCCTTCACTCACTGGACAGGCAGGATTGGTTTTCTGGTCGTGGTGACCTTCACTGTCATCGGCTCTTCACATTGTTTCGGTGGAGGGTGGGCTTCAGGCCTTCGACGTGTGCCTTGGGAGAGCAGAGGCCGTGTGACTACTTGCTTTTAAATCGTCAAAGTTTGAAATTAAGACTTAATACCAAATCTTTTTACAGAATGGACTAGACTACTTAAGCAATTATTTTATCCAACCCAAAATTATGTTGCCTAAAATATTCAGTGATTAAAGTAAAAGCATTGTTCTGGACTCAACTCTCTAGATAAGTCTGCTTTTGGCAACAAGTGACAGAGAACCAGCTTAGCGGGGCTTTGACATGAGCCCATTTCCCGGCTCATGTCTGTGGAATTCTCCAGCTCTGAGTTGGCCAGACTCAGGTCTTGATCTCAAACCATGGTTTTCTCCCCCTCGACCCCCTGCCGACGGGGTGCTCGGTCTTTAGACTGGTTCTCTCCGGGTGTAGGATGGCCGCTAAGGTGTGTTTGTGCCCAGTTCCTCATTAATCCCCTGAGGGAAGAGAGGGACGATTCCTGCGGGATCCTCTGACGTGAGGACAGTGAAAGACTTTCCCAGGAGCCCCCTTTTCATTGGCTCGCATTGGGCCACGTGCCCATTTCTCTCTGGCTCAGAATGGGTCATGGCCCGGTTGCTGGCACAGAGGACGGACCTGGTCTCAGATCATGAGGCCTCCCTTCCGACCCGAGGAGATGAATTGTGGTGGGCGTGCAGGTGTGCGTGTGCGCCCGTGTGTGCGCGTGTGTGCGCATGTGGTGTAGGTTCTGTTAGGAAAGGAAAAGGGAGACTGATGCCCAGTCACCTGACCACTCACTATCAGTGTGGATTTACTCAAATTCCCGTGACTGCTGGTAGGGGGACTTTTGGCTCAAAGGCTTGGGGAACGTGTGTCCGGATTTTCACTCAATCTGAGCCCGATCTGGAGTTGCGTTGAATGGACAGTAGGATCCAGACACGGAAGGGCACTTGTCCTCCTGTTTCAACATTCAGTCATCACCTAAACATTGGTTGGACACCAGGCACGTCGCTTGGTGCCACAGTCCAGTCCCCGTCCTCCAGGCTCCTGAGCTCATGGAGGGACCGAGGTAGGTAGACCCTGAGGATACATGGTGTAGGTACGAGGACAGAGGGCTGGGGAGTAGAGGCGCAGGTTGGAGTCGTCGGCTGTGCCTGAGGTTGGGAAGGGCCTCCCAGCGGAGGGGACATCAGGACCCGGGAGGCCTAAGGGCGCCCCGAGCGGAGGCACAGGCTGTGCAAGCTCGTGGCCCTGCGAAGCCCTGTCGCTCGGGGAACTGTGTCCGACTCCTTTAGAAGCAGCTGTGGCAGGGAGGGCTCGCCGTTCAGCTTCGCTTGATCGCACCTTATGCGCAGGAGCCAACCAGCAATCTTGGTGTCACTGAATTAAAGGAAAGACCAGTTTCTCGGGTGGCCAAAGAAGGGAGGAGCTGAATTTTTCTGGGTCGAAAAGAAGCTCGATGGACAGAAACAAAAACGACACCTTTGGTGCCACGCTTGCTCTCGAACTTGTCACTCTCTCCTACGTGTCAACATGAGGCTTAAAGATTTAATAGATTAAGAAACACTTGTTTGGCCCGGCCGGGCGTGGCTCAGCGGTTGAGCGTCGACCTAGGATCCAGGCGATCAGGGTTCGATTCCCGGTCAGGGCACATGCCCGGGTTGCGGGCTTGATCAATGACTCTCTCATCATTGATGTTTCTCTCTCTCTCTCTCCCTCTCCTTTCCTCTCTCTGAAATCAATAAAGATATATTTAAAAAAAAGAAACTAAAAAAAAAGAAACACTTGTTTGGCTCCCACCCTTTTACGCTAATTTCCCCCAATTTAATATGAATAAACGTGCAAACGTATTTGGCTCTGGGACACCCCCGCTCGCCACGTTGGCGCGAAGCGGTTTGGCGGGCGGCGCTGCCGATGGTGGCCGGCGCGGGATTCTCAGCGCAGCGGCTCCGTCCTCAGGCGTCTCCCGCGGGAAGGGCTGCGGGGCCGGGCGGCCCACCC